GGAATCTTATATCTGGATGGATTTTTATAATTCTTGTATACTGGAAATCACCAGCCGGTAATTATTGTCCCTTCCCTATTTCTCTGTGTTAGGGGCACTTAAAGTCTTTCGGTTGATTCGTTAACACTGAAGCATGACATTTTTTTTAAGATTTTTTTTGTTTGTTTGTTTGCTTCAGCAATTGAGAGTTGTTTCAAATTTTGCATCTCCTTTGTTCAGTTTGTTATCGGACAGTTTGTTATTGGGAAGTTTGTTATCGGACAGTTCAATAAGCTAGACACATTTAAAGTTGTAGTTTAAATCAACCAAATTAACCTTTGTATACTTCGCGTATTTTTCTTTTCTTGATAATTGTAATTTTATTAATTAATTGGACATAAGACTTCGTGTCGTCCAACTTTTTCTGTAATCATACAAGTGACAATTCGTGTGATTACAGACCAAATTCAACTCTACTCAGTCCTATTACCATAACAAAGTACTCTACGATAAGCCAATCGTAATTATAGATAGAATGGTTCATATAACTTGATTGGTAACACAAGACTTAATATTTCAAAATGTGAAACCATCCAAGCTATAATAGCTCCCAAACTGAAATAGTTCCTAAATTGAAATGGATCACAAACTGAAATAGTTCAGCAGGCCAGCATGCTGTCATCATTCTTCTTTTGTTTTGTTTTTGAACACGAAACTATACCTAACTTATGACAATCTCGAAGCGTGAAAACCTTCAATATCGGGGGTGGAAGCGGAATAATGAATAATGAATAACGGCTTTAAAAAGAAAATGAATAAGGAATAACGGCTTAAAAAGGAAATGAATAATTAATAATTAGGGTTTAATCGGGAATAAAGAATTATACCAAAAAAGAATCGCGTAAAGAAGCGATAGAGATCACGCGCTCGAAACTTGCAATCTTCGTCAAATCTTTGATGTCTTTGATGGTTTTTATGACCTTTCGGTGCCTTCCAGTCTCAGATTCTGGTCGCGGTATTCAATTACAGATCCTCCTTTGCCAGCTGATTGCGTAACTAGATAATGATGTGTGACCTTCATTGTCCTGCTACGCTGACATCAATTGCAGGAGTGAGCCAGCCAGGGTGGCGCGACGGAAAAAAGAGCCTGTTTTTAGAACCATCAGGCCTTTGTGTTTACAACAACCTTCTCTTTGTGTTGATTCTGGAAATGCGTCCATGAGAGTCCTTGACGTCGCAAGGCAGGTATCGAGAAAGAAAACTGCTCACACGTTAGAAGTCAGTACAAGCGAATCAGAAGAAGAGGAAGATGACATCCCCCTCACAGGAAAATACACGATCACCTCTACCCTTGCCCTGACATCAACGTGTGGCATTCACTTGGTTAGGCCGTTTTCTGTTTGCTCAGGTCGTAGAATTATGCAAGATTACCCGGAGTTTTATATCGGTGACACAAAACAAGGAAAAGTATTCAAGATAACAGATGTTAAGCTCACAACTCAATGCAGTGGAAGACTTCGGGAACTATATCCAGCAGCTGCAAACAACATCAGTGTTGCTCTAGTGGCACTCGTCTTTTACCAAGAACAATTGTTTATTGCTAACGCGGACACAAATGAGCCGGGTATTTGTGTCATACATGCTAATCGGGGAACTCTGTTGTCTACTATTACTTCACCCCTGATCTCAACTCCTTCTGGAATGTGCCTTGCAGACAAATGTCTTTTCGTATCATGTGGGAATCATACCATTCTTAAAATTTCTCAGGTAGACACAAATGTGGCAATTGAACATTTTTCTGGAAAGTGTAACAAACCAGGCAATGAGGATGGCGTGGTCTCTTCAGCCAAGTTCCACTCTCCTCACGGTATTGCAAGCAAGGGATGTTCCTTACTTATTTGTGACTGTGGAAATAAGTCTATCCGACTTGTTACAAACGCTGAGCCCTTGATAAAACTGCCATCTTTTGTCTAACCATACGCTCAGGTGTTTTACATTGACCACTATAGGGGAGCCGCGAGATTTTCATTTCGTGAGGCAATGTCTTTATTGGACAAACTAGTGGAATTCTTAATGATGTGGGACGAACAAACCAGGCAGAGGACCACTCGAACAGCAACTCAAGGTCCCGACCAAGTGTTGTCATACACAACTAGAAGATCAATGGAGATGATGCGTGGCAGCCTATCGCGACTGCAAAATTTTCTCTCCGAGTTAGGTGCTAAAGACCTTCTAGCACAAATTCGATTGTCTGCGCTGGTCACCCTTATGGTTGAAAATCTTTTTTCGCTTATGAGACAAGAGGATCCCATGCCTACTCAACTCGAGTACGGAATTAGACGCACAACCTGTGTAAGGGAACTGGAGAAGAGAATGTATCGTGGGCATTTCCACTACTTCACCGGGCCCAAAAGCTATTATCCGGACAAAGTATTGGATTCTCCTCCTCCTCCCAAGCCATCCATATCCCTAATCGAAGATCAAATGGAGAAACTATCCCATAGCGACACAAACGAGTTAAGGGAATTCGCTTCATCTTTCGAGAAGAGTGTTCGACAACATACTGTCAGAGACAAAAGCAAAGAAGATACTGGTCAATTGCCGTAAGCAATATCGTTCTCGTTGCAACAGCGTGAGCCACGTTCAAATGTTGCAACAAGTACTCTGCTACAGGGTGACACTCAGCAAGTACTTTGTCGGCAGTCCGTCCGTTATTGTGAAATTTTTTTCAAAGCAGGAGAAGTTGTCGCTGTGAAACACGGTCGACGAAGGGAGAAATGGGGTTTTTTCTTGGCTCTCCTTCTAAAGGATCTCTTAGTCGAGGACAGAACTGCAAATGAACTGCAGTTTACCGAAAATGTAATGGATATTATGTGGCTGGACAATAGCGAAACTGAGGACATGTTCCTGTTCAAAGAAGCGTACGAAGACCACAAACATTCGCCCTATTCTATTGTGGACCTATTCTATTGTGGACCGTTCACTTTAATGTTTTTCATTTCTGTTCATGTTATACTGAGTTTCGGCGCTTGACATTTTATAAACCTTTCTTTGTTTCTTTGCCGGCCCAGTGTTTTCATCAATAACCCAAGCTTACCTGGTTTTGAAATTTCAGTTTCTAATCTGTGATGTTACCTACTGGTTGTTCTGTAATAATCATCATGCGATAGAGCTCTCGAGCCACAAATGAGTTTAAAATAAAATTTTCTTTAAAAAATGAACTTATCATAATGAAAAGAGCTTACTTCCAAGAAGAAACATGAATGCTCCAAGCTTCATTCCCAATGTTTTAAACATCCTGAGGAGTAATCAGTCTTCCATTCCACAATAATAGGTTCTTTCTTACAGTAGAACGTCTCTAACCTATGCAAATCAATTCCCTTTCAAATGATATACAGTATTAGTGTACAAAGTCGAAAGTAGTACGTCAATTTAAGGTAGCTTGAAACAGTTTCCGAAACATCCAGAGACGATATTGAAAGCGCTCAAAAATCAACTTTCCCTCTTTGCAGTCGAACCAGGGACGTAGACTTTCAACAATGTATAACACAATCTTTCACTGCGAATAAATACAAAGGAATTTTCCATTTTTGGGGTCATTGCCCATATATAGGGGAATCCTTGTTTGCAATATTTGCCTCATTAGCATAAGCAATTCAGTTTCTGATGAAGCTAAAAATAAATCAGTTCTGAATATCGAAAGGTCAAAGTACGAATAACTCGGCCAATGAATACGAGCCTGATGCATTGAATACTTTTTGTGCAACACGGGTTTAAAAACTCAAAATTTTACATAGAATGTATGAGCTCATTTAGCGCTTTTGCCACCCAGAAATTTTTTTAGTTTTTGATGGACTATTTCTCCTTGAATATTACACCCAAAGAGCTAAAACTTTCACCATGTGCTAAGGTTTTCTAGCTCTTTAGCTGCCTGAAGTCAATTTGTGTCTAACATGCTTCCTTCTTTACGCAAAGCCGTATGCAAATGAGCAAAAATGTAAACAATGACGTCAGCATGAATCCGCCTATAGACTAATGAAGTCTTCACACAGCCAGTTTCAGAGTCTAATCGCCATTCAGAATTGCTGAAGGAAGGGGAAAGGAAGAAATGAGATACGGACATAACGGAGAAAAGTACGGTATTACGTTTCGCGTATGTCACGCGTTTGAGGATTGAATAATTTCATTCGTACAAGGAAATCAGGCCTGTTTCTGGGGGAACATAAAGAAATAGGCACGAGTTAACACTCTTTAACAGAATTATATTTCGTTTATCGTCATCTTAGTTATAAATATCACATTTTTAATGCAGCTATACCTTGTTCACCTTTTAAACACCTGAAAAATCAACAGGAAGTGAGAACTGCTTCTTTTCATATTAGAGACAAACATTCATTATTTCTTTCAAATCGTTCACTAGACTTTCTGGATTGTAAAAGAATTCCTGTAACCATTTCTAAAGGAGACGCTTTGCAAGAGTCTCTCCTTTTTAAGAATCATACAGCAATATTTTCATATCTTATAATTTTAATTGGAAAGTTTTCTGTAATGATCGAGATGATCATCTTAAAGTGCGATTACAACATTCACCTCAAACTTTGAAACAAGAGCAAGAACAGATATTATTTGCAAACTGCTCTATTTCAACAATCAGATTATAAGTGCGAGATTTCTATCGCGTAAAGGTTGGCCTGGGCTATAGTTGTTTTCGCTCAAAACCTGCTGGTCGTTCAATACTTAACAACAACACATGATCATGTTTTCATTTTACTTTGTTTGTGACAAAGCTCTGTTCGGCTATTCACTCTACTTTCTTTCTATCACGGAATAAATAGGGAGAAGCATGGCCAATCCGATTGCAGCATTTGTGATAGCACTCTAGTAGATTGGTACTGTGATAAGCATGGCGCCCAGCTGAGTAACCTTAAGAGGACGCGAACTCTTTCGCATATAAATCCAGAAGTCGTGAGTGATTTAGTAAAAAGGCGTCTCAATTGGCTTGTTAAGGCTAAAACGTTCAATTTCTTCATGATCTCGGAAAGCTCTTCGGCTATCTCACTCTTCATCTAGGCAGATCATCTCTCCCGGTATGTCAGGCAGGTCAATCCAAGGTCAATCCAGCCTGAAAAGAGAGAAGCGATGATTATTGAACTGTTTGACGGGGTTACTGCTGTCTCGCAGCTTAGGCTCCACAGCCTCCTCTCCTATAGAAACGTTTGCGACTATTCGCTCTGTAATTTGCGGAAGTTCGATCGCCCCCTTGAATAACTGAACTTACTGGTAACTGTATAATTGTAAATATTTCAGGCTTTCTTACTTTTAGTTTCGATCCTTTCTATAATGCATTAGAGTATACAGTCGGATTTAACTCTGGACCACCTTGTCATATGATAAATAGTATTTATTTAGTCAGTTCTACTGATCTTGCAGTCAATAAAAGCTTACAATTCATTATCCAAGTGTTGTGGTTCAGGCATTCTGTATCCTTCTTCAAGTAAGTTTGCAATTTTTTTCCCATCCATTCTTGGGTAAGGTGAACCGCCTGAAAGAGAAAAAACAAGACAATTAGAATGGAAATGTGTCGAACAACGGCCATCACTTGAAAGCACCACCGATATGTCAGCTAATGGAGTAGGGTTTATGTTATCGCGAAACCTGTTATCCTACCATTTCCCGAGTGTTTTGCGTTTGCATGTTAATTACCTGCAAGTGTTTGTACTTTTCATTCGTTGTATTGTGTTCCTGTGGCTGATTTTTATATCGTTGCGTAATGTTACGTAACTTATGTCGGGTAATTGATCACAAGAAATAAAGTTCTTACCTTTGTTCCACTAGTGCACCTGACAAGGAGAAAAAGGGGGAAAAAGGTTAAATCCTTGTGACGGAGGTAAAAATGTTTTGTCGTGCTTCATGATGGATCTTGCCCCACCCTTCTACCATATATAATGAAATTGTTACTCACCAGTCCTGTGTAGCCAGATTATGCAAATTATTAGAAGAAGGATGATGAAACCTAGGACTCCATTTAATGTTTTTAACATCCCGTCGTTACTTGAGAACTTTTCTTGTTCAGGACCTAAATTGATTGGTCTCTTTAGGCTCAATGTAAAATCAATCAAACAAGGTCTTGCAATTATCCTGGCCAAAATACAACTGTAATTACGTGGCTTCGGTTAGGGAACGAAAGAATGCGCACTCTGACTGGCTAAATACTAAAGCAAAACAGGACGTTACTCTCCCTGTGAAAGTTTGGAAAGCAAACTTTTGTTTGGAAGAATGAAACAACAACAAGAACAAAAAAAAGAAAATATATCTTTCAAAGAAAGGAAGAAGCCATGGAAACAACTGGAATTCTGTAGATCATTTTCGAAAGAATACCTGCTATGAACATACACGAAATCTTACCACTGAGATGCCATAGTAATGTAATTTCAGTTTATCGTGATCCCTCCTCGATTGATATTGGGAAACAATTCGTCTTTAGTTCTCTTTCGTATGTTTAATACTAAGATTAAGATGATAACGTTACGATCCACACATAACACAATTTTTTTAAGATATGATCTGAACATTTTTGGGTTTACATACGGACAACTAAATCCTAGATCGACGTGATAGTAAAATGCCCCGATACAAAGTTTCTCGGTATGAAATGAATGGACTGAGTCTGTTTGATGATAGCAAGCATAACAAAGTCGCAAAATCTTCATCCAACCAAACTTTGAATGGGTTTCTAATGCAAATAAAACGAATATTTCTTACTTTTGTGATTGAGAGGGGAAAATAAAAAACACACAATTTTACGTTTTTCTCATCCATATTCTCTCAAACAAGAGGTCCACGTGAGTTCCGAAATCTACCAGAATATCGATTATGTGGACAGGTAAAATCGAATAGAAAAGGTTTAAAATTGATCGGTGTTGGTTTGAAACTTTGTAAACGATTGCCTCAATTACAATATCTACTCTGTACTGTGACTTGTTAGGGTCTGTAGTCTAACAGCGTGGCCCCTTGAACTTTGTGAAAATGTAGGTATATCAACCTCGTAGTGTTTCACTCGCTTTAGTTCGTAACATCGAAGTACGATCTCTGACTAGTTTTCAGAGTACCTATAAGAAAGAGAAGCAGTCACCTGTAGGAGTTGTTTGGGATGATGTGGTAAATGTACTTGATGCTGGTTTAACTGGGAAAAAATGACATAGAACTTAGTTGCATTGGAGGAAAAGAATACAGAAGAAATTCTTGAAACCTCTCGCGTTTTGTCCTATATTTTGGTGACGAGTTTGCTGAAGATGTGGCGGACGTCTGCCCCAAATTCGATAGATAATTTAGATTTATTAGGAATTATGCTAAACCCCATTCAACTTACCAATACGTAGCAAAAACCTGACAGTTGCATTTCCCACTTCATTTTTTGCAAAACAGGTATACCATCCTTGGTCGCTTGAAGCAGCATTCTTAACCCCGAAAAATGAGCGGTTTGTCATTTTTTTGCCGCTGGTGTCATTTCCTTTGTGCCACGTGATGACAGCGGAGGATTTCTATTATCAACGTGGCAACTAATAGACCTGTCTTCTCCTGACTCCAATTTAATAATGGCACTTGACTGGGTGGCTGATGGTGCATCTAGAAACGAAAAGGGTTAGATGAATAACTGCTTTCTTAGTCAAGGTAAATATTACATGTACCTTAGATAGTTAAACAGCTGCGCAAGCAGTTACTGAAGACATAAGTCTTTATCTATGTAAACACCCCATATGTATTTCTAATCATTTTTAATCATTTTATTCGATTTAATCATTGTAATTTTTCCCATCAATATATAATTTTACTGTAACATCAGATATGTAATTTTATCGGATGGTTTTTTAATAAAGCGAATTTATTTATTTATTTTATCCACCCAAATGGTATTTGTACTTTTTATGATGTGATATTTCTATAATTAAATCCACTATACTGATAAGGAATTAGACTATTTTGATTCTACCTAAGCCAAATCATTAAGATTAAAAACTTCGTCAATATTAAAACATTTAGATGAGGAGTTCATTTCTTTCGGGAATATGAAGATTTATTATCCAACTACGCTTCGTAGATTACAAATAAGGCCATAGACGAGTACAAATATCACGCGGTATTTGTACTCGTCTAAGGCCCTATGTGCCCCGAGGCATGGAAAGGCTTGATGATTTGTATTCGTCTGTGGTAGAGTACCGGTTAAATAGGTTTTCTCGCATCGCCCAAGCGAAAAGTTGGATTGTAGTTACGACAAAAAAAAATGGCACACAATTTGATTCATATTTCCGACAACGAAGAGTCAGAATGGCTGGCAAATATAGATGAAAGTTTATTAGATGAATCAAACGAAGAAAAACTGCTTCATTTGATGAAGAAAATAGAAACAGCAACACGACAATGCGCCAATTCCGTTCCGCTACCTACTACAGCTTCTACAGCTATTACACCTACTACAGCTACTACACCTACTACAACTACTACACCTACTACACCTACCACACCTATTACAGCTACTACAGTTACTACACCTACTACAGCTACTACACCTACTACACCTACTACAGCTACTACGGCTACTACGGCTACTACGGCTACTACGGCTACTACGGCTACTACGGCTACTACAGCTACTACACCTACTACAGCTGCTACACCTACTGCAGCTACTAGAGCTACTACAGCTACTACGCCTACTACAGCTACTAGGGCTACCACACCTACTACACCTACTACACCTACTACACGTACTACAGCTACAACACCTACCACAGCTGCTACAGCTACTACAGCTCCTACACCTACTACAGCTACTACACCTACTACAGCTACTACACCTACTACAGCTACTACACCTACTACAGCTACTACACCTACTACACTAACCGCCTCCTGGTTAGCTCAATTGGTTAGAGCGCCGGATTGTGTTGTGCGGGAGGTCGAGGGTTCGAGCCCCGGCCGGACCAATACTCATGGTCTTAAAATAACTGAGGAGAATTTGCTACCTTTCTATAACATCAATGAAATGGTTAGATATTCTAGTCTTCTCGGATAAGGACGAATAAATGGAGGTCCCGTCTCCTGCAGGGTTAGGGGTAGGAGACGTTAATTTCCCACACACGAGATTACTGTGTGATGGATGTCCTCCCCTGGGGTGGGATGTGTGGGGGAAAAGGTGAGGTCGTTACATGGACTAAAGCGGCTGCCAGAGGCGCCTGATAATGCTGACGTCCGATCTCAACCTTAGTAACACTGTAGACCTTAGCAATTCAGCCTATGCTGCTATTAAGGTATCGAATCATTCACTTTCACTTTCACTTTCACTATCCACGTGTTGTGGTTTAGGCATTCTGTATCCTTCTTCAAGTAAATTTGCAATTTTTTTCCCATCCTTTCTCGGGTGAGGTGAACCGCCTTAAAGAGAAAAAACAAGATAATTAGAATGGAAATGTGTCGAACAACGGCCATCACTTGAAAGCACCACCAATGTTAGCTAATGGAGTAGGGTTTATGTTATCGCGAAACATGTTATCATACCATTTCCCGAGTGTTTTGCGTTTGCATGTTAATTACCTGTAAGTGTTTGTACTTTTCATTCGTTGTATTGTGTTCTTGTGGCTGATTTTTATATCGTTGCGTAATGTTACGTAACTTATGTCTGGTAATTTGCTAAGTTTTCTGGATAAATTTAGTCTTGAGGATCAATGTTTATGTACACTTTTTAGAAGCAGCTTCTTCGTTTTCTAGATGCCTGTAAAGATATGCATGCTAATCGTTTTCTTTTTTGCGAGTTTATTTGTAAGTTTTCGTTCTTTTATATGGATTTCCCTGCTAAAACTTAGTAGCATAGACGTGTGGATATTTCAAATAAATGGATAAGCACAATCGTAAATTTCTATTAGATGTTACCGATGGTGAAAATCTCGTAAAGGACAATTCCATAACTCCATCTGCAGAGGGGCAAGCAAACATGAGTGAAATAGCTGGGAAGACTGTAGAAACCAATCCCTGCCTAGTCCCAGTCCGCGCTGCTATCCTTAACTAGTTTGACCTTCGCGCTCCTTCATGCGGGCTATGCAAATGCAAAGGGTTCGCTCGAGTTTACAAATAACGTTACGTTCTTGTGCTGTTTCTTCGTATTCCCAAATCGTCAGGTAAATGTCCACTTTCATTATTTTATTCTTATTTCCTATGTTATTCCTAATGCTGTAATTACTTGCTCAAGATACTAGAATTGCTCTCTGATGCAACTAAAGGAGCTCTTACTCTTCTTGTGCTCTCCAAACTTCCCGCGTGCACCCACAGCTCTATGTGTACCACTTGTTCAATAGGCGTCATCTCTAAAGAACATGATCACCAGTACTTACACTTTCCTTTTGGTGGTATAGATACCATACAACAACGCCTCATAAGCTGTCCACTTCACTGGAAGACGGCCCTAAATATTTGTGAAACACAACGAAGACAGTGAGCTAGAATCAAAGACAGCAATACTTAGAATATTACTCGTATATGTACCTTTTATTTTCTTATCAGGTGTAATGTAAAGATTTCATGACCGAAACTATGAAAACACCTCAACCACAAGAGGTAATTATGTCATATGTTATGTCATTGAGTAGCCGCATTTTCGTGTCACCTTTGTTTTTCTTCTATAAATATTTTCCTGATGCACATCTCTGGCCATTCCCAAGTCCGTCACTTTACACGTTTCATTTTGTCTAAGCAACACATTACGGGCTGCAAGGTCTCGGTGGATGATCTAAAGTAATGGATTGTTGAAGAAGAAATGGCACGAAAGCGAGAATTAGTAATTATGAGAGATAAAGAACCAAAAAAAGCCTCATTTACGGAACAATTAATAGTTTGCGTGTATTTTATCACCC